TATATATATATATATATATATATATACACACACATATATACACATATATATATGCCAAACTCACTTTACATCCATATACTTTTTCAAATATGTGCATTAGCTGAGTTAAAGTGTAAAGATTAAGATACTTAGATTTACCCGAGACAATATAAGAGAGGGAAACATAGTCAAAGTATTTTGAATTCTGCATGCAGAATTATGAAGCAGTGCAGATGGTGGTAGAAGTTTAACTTCCAAGGAGAAAAAGTTTAAAAAGGAATCTTTTTAAAAATGTAAATGTTGGTGATTCTATACAGACTGTTTATGTTCTAGTGAGTGTTGACAGGTTAAAAGTTCTTTTATACAATGCTTAACAAATGAATTAGAGCGCCACCGTGTGATAATGACTTTAACCGCATTCACGATGTCTTTAATCAAAATGATAGTTTTAATTCTGATATATAATCCATGAACTTTCACATTTCCCATTTTACAAAAAAAGCAGAAAAAATTAGCAGAAATTACTTTTTTGATTAATAAGCCAAATGAGTTATTCATTTGCATTCCTGAACAGAAAATAGGAGTAGATGTAGCAATAAGCCTGCCAAATTATTGTACTTTATTCTAACAAAATGCTTTTGTCAGTGCAGTATAGCTCTAACAGTGCCTCTGATTACACGGGTGCACAGCAACAATTGCACTTTTTTGTGTCCAGATCTTTAAAGGAGAGCTGAATCACAGGACAACATGCTGTAAGTGCGACATGAAGAACGATTCCAGGAGCTTCTTTTGGATTCTGCCACTAATGGTGGAAGATTCAAGATATAAAACCTACAATGTGGTACTGAATTTTCTTTCATTAAAAGCAAGGGTATATATACTTTCTAAATGTTAAGAGAGCAATCTGTTTTACATAAAATCTTCATGGTTTGCAGAAGCAAGGACTCGAAGCTTTCTTTGAGTTACAACAAGTATCTGGTGATGACCAGATATACTGCAGCCGCTGTGATGAAAAGCAAAATGCAAACATTGTGAGTGATGAATCTGATCTCTTAAAGTTTTTATCACAAAAGATCAGTGCCTCTTGTTCATGTAGTTGTTTTTATGTTGTGTCCTAGAAATGGGAGATAACTCAACATCCAGATGTTCTGACCCTCCTGCTAAAGAGATTTACCTTTGACTACAAGCTGAGGCGCTACGTCAAGCTTCACTGCAAAGCTGATGTGCCTCAAACTTTACACATAGAGGTATTTTAGACACAACAGGGAATCGTTTCAACTTTTATTTATTACATTTAATGACTTTGTTTTATTTGTATCTCTCCAGAAATATACTTATGAGCTCTACGCCGTGGTTAACCACTTTGGCAGTCTCACAGGAGGACACTACACCGCAGAAATCAAATCATATGAAAATGGGCAGTGGTACTGCTTCGATGATGGACGGGTTAAAAGTGTAAGGGAGCATAATTTGACGAGTCCTCAGACAGTTAAGTGCTTAACAACATGACATTAAGTCATTAATTTATTATTATTTTTCATTTTCCAGGTCAAACTATTTTTGGCTAAAGAAAACCCACTGAGGTAAACACTTCTTTTTGTCTAATGCCACATGAGGAATATTTCCTGAGCTAGAATCAAGTTATGTCTGACATGATGCAGCTGTGTTTCTAAAACCCCTCCCCAATAACAGCTCTTCTACAGCTTACATCCTCCTGTACAGGAAAGGTAAGTTTTCTTAAGATCACCTCTTGTAATTTTTTTTTAAATTAATGAATATAATTTATTTGAAAGGGTTAACCCAGCGGAAAAAGAAAATTATTTCCTACTGTTAATTCAAAGTGAAGGTTTGTATGGTTGTACGGTCTTTACCTTTTGACAGGGGTGGGCAATTCCAGGCCTCGAGGGTCGTGTCCTGCAGGTTTTAGATCTCACTCTGGGTCAGCACACCTGAATCAAATGATTAGTTCATTATCAGTCCTTGGCTATATCCCAATTCAGGGTCTGCAGCCTTAAAGGCCGCATTTTAAGGCCGATTACGTCACAGCGACGCGACGAAGGCTGTCCCAATTCGAAGGCTTCTCGAAATGCGGCCCTCAAATGCGTCCTTCATTTCCCTGAATTTTAAGGACGTTGCGGTGTAGACTTCGTGGCCCAACATATCCCAGAATGCATAGCGCGGCGGTGGGTGTGGATGATTTTGCCGGAAAAAAAACGGCGGATGAGGGGCGCCCGAAGAGTAAACTTTAAGTAAGGGCTGAATATTATGTCACTTATTTATGTGCAAATGTTTACTAGCGAAGAACATTAAAACATTACTGTTGGCCACATGTCGGCAAAGTTATGTGACATTAGTGACGTTTGTACTAACTTGGTTTTAAAGCCTTTACTTTAAAATATACACCGTCCAATAGCTGAGCTTAATCTTACAGAGAATGATCAAAGCTCATGTAGAAACAAACAAACAAATGAACAAAAGATTTTCTCCTTCATTTCTGTCAAACAATGCTGTATGAAACGTTTCCAGCTGTTAGTATCATGGTTGCTAGGCAACCTGGGCAGCGCAACGGAGGCTAGACCGTCCCATTTCACAAGCCTCGCACTTCCAGCCTTAGCGGTCTTTAAGTACGCGGCCCTTGAGGATCGTTGAGGCTGCGTACTTTAAGGCTGCAGACCCTGAACTGGAGAACTTCAAGACATTTATAGGAGGTAATTTACCCATTTCAATCAGCTGTGTTGGATCAAGAACACATCTAAAACCTGCAGAACACCAACTCTTGAGGCCTGGAGTTGCCCTTATGATATATATAAACTGATGTTTTGATTTGGAGCCAAATAAATAAAATTGACTTTAATTGTAATTGAAGGTGACATTATTTCACTAGACTTAGATGTGAGGTGTTTCCCAAAAGCTGTAGATAAAGATCATATTAAGAGTATCTGAAGAATGACTTGGACCTGTAGGAGGAGCCAAAACTGCATGCTTTAAAGAAGTACTGGTTGCTTTTGTTTCAGTTTTAAGTTCTTTCACTGTTTTGAAGAACACTAATGTACAAATCAGAAAATTAATCAGTAACACAAATTGATTAAACTATTTTTTGCACAATTGATTTGCCAGTTCACCTAAAATATTCATTTCCTAAAAGCCAAATGTCACTTAATACAGCTTTTCTTTTTTATGGAGTGCCAGTTGTTTTGCCACACACATATCAGACTGATGCAAAAATGATGGCATTCATAATAAATGCCATGAGAGCAATAATCTCTTCTCCAAATACAGATTACTCATTGATCATTCTGTGTTTTACTAATCTTCCATTTTTCTGTTCAAAGTGAGAAAAGAAGCTCCAAAGACTGATGGAAGTGATCACGACGCTCAGTGTGCACATTCAGACGTCAAGGCTGAAGGAAGGAGTCATGAGACACACAGAGGGGACACTGCTTTTCCTCATTATCAACCAGAGAGATATGATGACAAAAGGAAGGACATTTTAAAGGGCTTCAACAGTGATTTGCCAAAAAGCTGCCGTGATGATGGAGTTTTGGGAAAACTGATGAACTTTAATGGAGAACCGGATAAACAGCCAAACCAAAGAGCAGCACGGATAAACAAAACAACTGAACATCAAATGAGTATTAAAGCAGATGTTCAGTGGCTTGATTCATATAAAAAGGCACACATGTATCCTGATATCAACAGAAGAGAAAATTTGAGAACACACAAAATTCATGGGATTCAGCAAAACATTCCCAAAAGAAACACCAGAAGGTACGAGACACTTCCTGGGAGGCTACAAACAACACTGATACTGAGACTGGAACAAAAACAAGTACACCAAGGAGTAGCCCAGGAAGAAGTAGACAGAAACCTGTAGACACAAAAGCTGAGGAAAAGAAGAAGGAGGCACTAAAAGAAGCATCAATACAAGGAAACAGCCTGTTAGACAGAGAAGGAACAGTTCTGTCACTGCTGCTGATAAAAGGATTGTAATGGTTACTGTTGTTCAGTCCTGGACCCAACAAACTACTCCAAGAGTTACCGTACAATCAATGAAGCCTCTAATTACAAAAAGTCAGTAAATCAGACCAGAAATTTAAACTCCTTAAACAGCAACAATATGAAAACACAGAATGTTGTTACTATAGACAGCAAACTCGGGACCAAACACAAGCAACAACAAACTACAAGCGAGACAGAGAAAAAAAATGTTATGAAAAAACCTTGGAAGTGATGTTGTTAATTGTGACAGGTAAACTGTGATCAGGAATGTATTTGTTTACATTTTTATATGTCAGTGTCTTTCTTATTTACTATTGGCTAATGCACATAGGTAATCATAGTTTTACAGTTTGGGTCTCTCCACATGTTCTCTGTAAATCCAAATAAATCACTAACAAACTGTGTTTGTATTTAAAATGTTCAGTAAATTCTTTAATGAGACTTTCTGCATTTGTGTTGTCAAGATATGCAGTTGTTACTTGCTGAAGATCTCAAACACACCTTTTTGTATGGTGGCCCTGAGAGGTCAGATGCAGTACAGCAGCTGCAGAAGTGACAGAAATGAAAACATATGATGGACTGCTGTATAAAAAGTGATAAATTTGCATGTGTGTAGAAAACCCTTGTGTTCTAATAACATGATTCATGTGTGATTTGTGAGCTTTTGTGGCATTTTTTGGCTTCCATCATGTTTTGTTCAGCTTTACTTCTGTTGTGTTTGTGTGCTTTTGCAGCATTTTCTATTTCCTGTGTTTCCTGTGGTTTCAGTAAGTTGGTTTCAGTAAGTTCTTTCTCTCAGGGCCACCATACTTTTCACTGAATCAGTCAAGATGTTGTACATGGTACACGTTTTATAATGGAACTGATAAATACTATTTGCAGTGATTTTCAATGAGATAAATTTTAAAGAGGAACAGCTGATAAACAAACACACCCTGCTGTCATCATAAACTGAGATATGAGTTTAGATTTCCAGTCAGGAGATGTCCAATAAAGAAACACATTCACACACTTGGTTATTTAAGTTGTTACATGCCGAGTGCTGCACAGGAACTATAATGTAGGCCAGGGGTCGGCAACCCTAGGCACGTGTGCCACAGTTGGCACGCGAAAGGTTAACTGATGGCACG